TAGTAGTAGTAGTAGTAGTAAAAGATGAAACCTGTCAACCCTAATTAGTAGACACTGCTGCGAAAACTGCTGATAGCTCTCTGCTGTCGGCTATTGAGTTCATAAGAACAGAGGCTCTTTCATGCCTCTGGTCCTAACATGCAAGTTCAGGGGCTGGATAGCCGCACGCGACCCAGGCAGCAGTAGCGGCTTGATGCTCTGCTCGATACATGCAAGGTGCTCCGGGTGCTTCTCGTACACCTTTCAGGGTATTGGGGTGAAAAAAGAAACCAAGCAACGTTGATACTATCCCGTGATGTCAGTTTAGCAACAAGACTTACACTCTCCACCTGCATTTTGCAAGTCCGCCCGCTTGATTCACGCCCTTCCTTATGCTCTTGAGCAGAGCCGCAAAGACAAACAATCCACAGCTCTGCTTCAACCCGAAAGCCCTTCAACCCAAAGCCTTTTCAGGCCTCCTGTGTTGCTGTAAAGATGCAATCCGGCCTGGTAGGCTTCAATCGAAGTAAAGTCCTCAAGATCTTGGAACTGACCCTGCATTTAATGTATAAAGCTCACATCACGGATGCTGCAGAAATATAGCAACATGGCATGAATATGCTTGCCTCTGCCAGTTTCAACTGTACAGTCAGGATATTTTGGGCCCTAGAGGCCAAATGTTGTTGATCCTACGCCCCGGAACACACAGCTCTGAATCACACTTGTACTTAACAGATCCGGCAAGCGGGCGAGCATCGACCAGGGCTAGCAGACTTCGGTTGCTGCGATCTCCGCCAGATTGGCCCGCCTGCCTCGAAAGGGCGACAGGTTCATGGCAATTGTCATTTTGACGTACTATCATCGCATTTCCCCACCCTACATCTTACGGCACAGGTCTGGACGCTCACGGAGATGCTGACACTAAGATCCTATTGCCGGCTGCAGGCAGTTGTCCAGGCAGGTCTGACCGTCACTGTCTGTTCAAGACCCGTGCAAACAAGTTCTAATGCTGTGCACCAGGACAACACCGCAAGAATGAACGTCGAACTTGTGGAAGTCTTGCCAAGTGTGGAAACACCGTAAGCATGGTAGGCAGCACATAGCAGCGGTAAGCGTTGCGAAAGTCAGAAGTGCACTAAATACTTACCGCATTGCTGCAGAGGATAGCCATTTTGAACACCACCGAGCCCGATTCAGAACACACCCTATCTCCACTGAACGCCGCGTGATCAGAAGTATCCACCGAAAGACTCCTTTGCTCACGCTTCCCAGACCCATGAGTGTCATGTCGACTTCTAGTGAAGCTCTGACTTCTTCTCACACTCCAAACGATTTTTGCTGGATGCTTTGCAGGCATCTCGTCGGCCAAGGCGACCGCCATGCGAGAGACCTCCTTGATCTTCCTCAGAGCAAGAGGGTACTCTGATATCGCTATTGCTGCCGGTAGTAAGTAGATTCCAGGGACCTCAGGACTCGCAAGCAGCACCCCAAGGCTAGCACAAGCACCGCAATGGACGACAGCAGCAACGATAATGATAATGCCTCTTACTCAGCAATAATTGTGGTCACAACGCATGACGATCAAGAATATTAAACCGCAAGCAGTCGAAAAAGCGATGTCGTACAGTAGCAAGGTGTTTCGAGGAGTCTATTCCATGCACGCAAAATGACAGACAAACTCTGCAATTGAGAGGGCCTGCTGCTGCCGCCCCAGACCCAAAGCCTGCAGACTGTACATGACCCCGACAAGGCCCTAACGCCTTGCCCGGCATCGAAATAAAGAATCCTGATCCTCTCAGGACCAGACCGGCCGAGGTCGAGCCTGAGACGGACAATTATCTCGGAATCTGCAGCCGAAGCATTTCCAAACATCCCGCTTATTCTAGCGTAGCCTATGAAACCAGCATCAAGAGCTCGAAAAAAGCCTTGTTCGACGGCCGACTGTGCTTCTGCTTGCTGCCTCCATGCATGTGTGGGAGGTTGATGAGCCGGGGCTTTTGCCTGCAGATTCGCGTTGCGATGGCCAGAAAGTCATTTCTGGAAACTGTGATATTTTCGAAAGGGGCATCAGACCAGTTGAGGCTTTCTGCGGAATGTAGGTCAGGCACTCACTTTCTTCCCTCATGCCGCCCAGTAGCATGGATGTCTGCAGTTTCAGAATGTCCTCATGCTTTGTACCCTCCTTGAAATCCAACATCACGATATGGTGGACTCCTGAATCAGGATCTTTGCTTGGAGCAATCACTAGCAGTCACTGGCAGACCGCCCATGCCGAAGCTGAAGCTGAGACTGCATAGGGTACTTGGAGCTGGAACCTCAACCTCCGGAAGCCTGAAACACCGCAACCCCGGCCCCAAGCCCCAAGAAAACCAAGCCGAAGTGGTCTGTCGCCGCCCAGCATCCCGGAAGGACAGTTGACGGTTGGGCGTACCTTTGCTGACGGACTGCTGCCCGATGAATCGAGTTCACCTGCATCCTTCTGATAACCAAACGAGCACGAAGCCCCAATCACCCTGTTCGCAACCGCTAGACCGCCGCTAAACCCGTGTGAGAAAATCCGAAGCCAAGGTCGCTGAATCGCCGCGAAGCTGTCAGGATCGATGGCGGCTTCGAACTTCGCCATCAGGTCTAAGTGAGCGGAGTGGCTCTCGAAGGCCTCTGTCGGGTGGCAACAGTCCGGGCGTCGGGAAAATCCCCTACGACTCGGGTTCTTTCGATGAACCGCGAGGAAAGCAGTAGAAATGAGTCCTGCTGGAACGACGAGGAGCACGATAACTTATACTAGTGTGACCCTCATTTCTTTGTCCTGGGGTTGTGAAAAACGCCGGGCTGTAGCATAACCACTTGTGGAATGTTCAAAAGCAAGGATGACAGAATTTGCCTTTCAGTGATATCAGCACCAGAGCAACATGTCACGAGTTGTCTGTTTCGATTGGAGTTTTCATCGGGCGGCTGCTCCGAGCCTTTATGCTCTACAGCTTGAGGCCTCCATCTCAGAAGAAATGAACATAAGGCATCAATGCCCCGACCGTCAACCTGCTACTGCTCAGGCCTCGAAGTGGGCGCGCGTCTGGAAGTCCGCGAGCCAGACCTGTCGGGGATCCGGGTCTTCAACGCCCAGAGCCCCAGTTCAAGCCGTGAACCAGGGGCTGCAAGTGAAAGAGAGAATGAGAAACATTACAGAGAGAGAGAGAGAGGTGGGAGAGAGCGACAGAAAGAGAGCGGGAGAGAGAGCGAGGGAGGGGGAGAGAGAGAGAGAGAAAGAAAAAAAAAGCGACAGAGAAAGAAAGAGACTCGAAACAACTATGGCAATGCAGGAGCCGGGTGAAGACAACGGAAGAAGCTCTTGCAAAGGCGAGTGAGGAGGTGCACCTGAGGAGGGAACTTCGAGGTGAAGTGCCGCTGTGTTGCAAAAAGCTCGGTCGGTGAATTGGGCTCTAAAAGCAGGTCCGACAGAGCTCCCTGCACAAAATGCCGCAGGACGAATGCCTTGAAGCTTGGAAGCTGACCAAATATTCTCGATTCTTGCTGGATCTTGCTGGTTGAGGTTGGCAGACTTGGATGGGGGTGCCGGTCCCTGAGATGCCAAGGCACCATACTTCGGTTCTTTCCTGCTGGGTGGCTCTGGCCGCCAGGCAGTCGCAGATCGGAGCCCACGGTGCTCTGCAAGATCTCGGGGATTTTCCTTTGCGGTCGGTTTTGGATTCACAAGTGTTGACATGCACGGCGAGTCTCATGGAACATGAAGCGCTCAGGGCTGCAGGTTAAATCAGATTTGGAGCTGCCGGGGCTTCTGGAAGGCAACTCGAACAAATGTTAGAGCCGAGTCAGAGCATGTGGTGGTCCATAAGTCTGCCTGATCCCCTGCTTGAGGCAAAGCATCTGCACCAATAAATAAAACCTGTCTGTAGGTTCCGGCACGAACATGACCTGTCTCTGCCTTGACAAATTACACCAAAACCTCATGCGCAAATTGCCTCACCCCCGGAGACCGGAGCAAAGCCGCTGCGGAAGCGTGTTGATAGCTTTCAACAGCTCGATCTCGTCGGCCGCTGACACATGTGCTTTGAAGCTAAACCTTAGAGTCGGCAGATCAGCTCGGAGGCTTGGCTACCAAATATCCCTGAACTCGACTTGCAGCACCTGAGCTCCGAGAATAGAGCTGACCCTTAATGCGAAAGATGTGGTGCTGCAATGCTCCGGCCAAGTGACAGAATCGTGTTAGTGACCAGAATGTGGGACGATTCCAAAAACGGTTGCTCTGCGGCCATCGGCCGAATGTCTTCTTGTAGCACTAAAAGCTGCAAAGTCGGAACGCCAAAGCATTTGAAGCGGCTCGTCGCAATAAACTCGTTTGGGCTCGTGCAGAGTCCTTCCTGGATTACAGGCCTGCTCCTGTTCAAGATCAAGGCCTGCATGCGCAGTCTTCGAGCGAATGTTTTTAAAAGCCAAACCTCCATAGAAATCCCCGTGGAAACCGAATGCGTGAACTTTCCCATGGAGGCCTGTACTCAAATGTACTCATCACTTTGCGAAAGACGGTACTACTACCACTACTACTGCGACTGCTGATACTACTACTGTTACTACTACTACTACTACTACTACTACTACTACGACGACGACGACGACGACGACTACTACACCTACTACTACTACACCTACTACTACTACTACGACGACGACGACTACTACTACTGCTGCTACTGCTGCTACTGCTATTGCTATTACCACTATCGCTGATACCACGGCTTCATGTATAGCAGCGCAGGCGAATCCGAGTCGAGTCTGGTGCAGAGGATCGAAGGTATGTGTTCCGGCATCCTCTTGCATCAACCAAACCTGACAGGGCCCGATTGTGCCCTCAACCATCCAGTCAAGAAGCATCACCACATGGCGGATCCCTGGGATTGTCTCATCCAGGCGAAATCTCTCCAGACAACAGCCCATGCTTGATACGAATGGGCCCAATAGCACGGAAAACGCTCGAGCCAGACATTTTCGGTGCCCCAGCCTGGGTCCGAGGTGGCCGTAGGGTCGTCAAAAATGACTGCGACCAAGCCCTCGAAGATTTTGCCCAAATGTAGCCTCGTAATGTTCCGGAAATGCAACAGCAAGACATGGCCTCGAAACCAAAAGTGAACCGCCAGTCATGAAATGCAGGGCTTCAGCCGTCTTTATCCTTGTACGTCCGGTTTGCCTTGGACAGACGAAACGTCGGGTCACCGCCAGCGAAGTGCGAGACGTTGTAGTTGTAGTCCTAGTGTCAGTAAATTTGTCGGCAATATGTCTTATCTTATCATCGAGGACAATATACTGTAACAGGCTTTTTGTCATCAGTGCAACTCAGATTGATGAAGTTCCGACTCGTGTTTGCAAGAACCGCAATGCCGGACTATGGGCTGAGCCACAACGTTGCTAAATGAAACGTCACTTCTTGGCAAACAGCGCCGCAGTGGCAATGTAGACTACGTGGGTTATCGTCTGAAGCAGGAGGCTGATATCGCAGAAGCAGGTGGTGTTGGCAACAGTTTCGGAGCCTACTCAGTCTTCTCATGAATCATGAAGCATGTCATGTCTCTTTTCTGCAAGGATGGCTTTGGCATGACAGTTCTCATCTTCCGCTGTTGGCGAATCAACCGTGGACTGTGCATCCGCATGAGCATGCAAACAACAAAGCGTCTGTCATGCACAACTGCCACGAGTTCATGACAGCCGCACAGCATTGGAACATATTGGAAACCCGTCCTCGCTGAGGAAATCCCGATAACTTGCCTGAAACTCATTGGGGGAAGGCAGTTCGGCTGATCACGCTCAGCTCTGTCTCTGGCACCCGTCATTCCGAGCTGCCTGCCCGCCAGTTGTCCACGGTCATACCGGACACATATGCATCCTTGCAGAAAGTTTAATCCTGCGCTCCCGTAGGTATCTAGCAAAGATGACGCTGTAGTAAACACACGAACCAGAAGACTGTGAATCAAGACGACCGTGGAACACTTACGAGGTTTCCCGCCACATGGACGACGAGCGCACCCACAGAAACAGACAGCTACGGTGATAAGACTCGAAGTTTGGAGGGGCAGGCAATTGACGTGAAACAACAGTAAAAGACCAACCAAGGCCACGTTACGTTCGGATGCAGGGATCGACCAGGTCAAGGTGCACCCAAGAGTGTCAAGAATTGCACAGGGAAGCGTTACTGGCAGTCCGGGCAGCCGTGAAACGTGCCAGGTCTCGAAGACGCGATGGAGCGCCTTAGGAGCATCGAGCGCGCTGTTCAGTCGGCCTTTTGGCTTCGGATATCTTGAAATTAGCTCTTTGAGGACTCCTAGGGACTGTGAGTGGGCAGTCCGAGTCGCAAAGCTTGCCACAACTGGTGTTGCAGTGCGCCATGGCTTCTCCTCTGCTGACAGCTTCCTTGTTTAATACCGATCTCTGAAATTCGCCCTCGAAGCGGCGGTGAACTGCAAGCACAAGCCCTCCGAGCTCCAAGCAAGTTGGGAAGTTCGACCAGAAGCGGTACGCCAAAGGCACCGCCGGACATGCCAGGTGCTGGTACTCTGGCCTGCCGCTCACTGCAAAAAGCCTGCTTCTACGTGGCGGTTCGCTCACTGCCGGTAGTGCTACAGTCTTGATTTGAGCTATCCAGCCCCAGCTGCAGAATGGCAGGCCCTGTTGAGTCTTCCTATTGATTTGAGCTATCCATCCAGCCTCAGCTACATGATTTGAATTTTTCCATCCAACGAACCTTATGCGGCATTAACACATACAAACAAGCAACATACCGGCAATCAGTTTGACAGTTGGAGTGGCGCTGTAGAAGCCCTGGCACGCATTGAACTAGCATGACTACGGACAATGGTCTTAGTAACTTAGTACCAGTAACAATCACAACAAATGCCGGCCAGTTAATATCAGTCGTCGAATAGTAGCAGTAATTCACAGGCCCTCAGCTCGACGGGGACGATCTGAATTATTCGAAGCACAGGCATCATGCGGGCAGGGATCACACAGTAAGAGTTAAATGGAACGTACACCTAGCAAGACGGGCAAAGTTGGTACTCAAGGAAGTTTCCGCCCAAGATATCTGGTGTCCTCGGACATGGTTCTCTGGGTTCATTTTCTGTACGACACAGCCCGCAAGAAGATGCTTAAGTTGTCAACCAACACAAGAAGAAAAAGAAGAAATGTTTCGTGAGATCTGTATGCGAGCACATGAAGTTCAACATGCAATCCGGGAACCGAATAATGACCCTCCGAGGTTTCTTGTCGAAAACAATCGCAGCGTCACTACCCGTAGTCTCTGTGTCAGGAGGCTCCTACAGAGGATCTGATACCTTCTAGGCTGGATCCTGAGAGTTTCAGGGCCGAGGAGCCAGTTTATACAGGCAGCCACGATCCATACGTGCATGGATCGCCTTACGGGGATCTGAGCTTCGAACGTTCTGTGGGCGTTGTAAAGTTGGTCGAACTCGTCACCGCCCGCATGCCTGAAGGCTCAGGAGCTTCGAGATGTTCGCAAGGGCGAGAAGCTGACATCTCTAAGTCTGTCGAACCTGTCTGCTGGCAGCTGGTGTATGCAAGTGTGATGAAGCTCCGGCTTTGAAGAGCCCGGCTACCTTTAGGCTCTAGACCTTCGGGTTCAGGCTGCCACCTGCTACCATTGTTGGACTGACGCATCAATCCCAGCACGGAAGCTTCACACTCCAAACCCACGTATGTCGTCCCGAACGTAAAAGCCTTAAACCCCGCATGAAGCCTTGAAGTAAATCCATGTTCGAAGAGTTCCAGAATTATCCTGCCGAATACATCTTCAAGGCTCCAGGCCGTTTGTGATAACGCCAGTGCGTGAACTCATACTCCCACAAGGACCAGCCTCTGCAGGTTAGGGTTAATGGCACAGGGTGTTCGAGGCACTTCCTTTGACAGAACGCGAATCGTGGTCAAGACAATCAATAGACCGATAGGCTGCCAGGGTTCTGGAGTTGACATTGAAGATACTTCTGTGCCCAACTAGTCAGTATGGAAATACACCACACCGCCGACAACTGACTGAAAAACACCATGCTCGTCGCGAACTTGGACCCTGGGTAGGACCTCCAGACTGAGAGTTGGATGCAAATCACATGATGCGCTCCCTGTAAGAAATCAGGTTTATGAGGAGCCTGGCGATGTCAGAAACATCCTCGCTGGCTTCTTGGGTGGAACAGAATCGGGATGCGCGTTAAACAATTACCAGCAGTGGACATCCTCTTCCGGTTACCCCCCTTCAGCATTGATTGCCGCACTCGCCAAAGGGATACTAAGTCAGTCTGTGCGTTCACAAGAGAATTAGCTGAGATTGCTCTTGCGCGTAGTGCTGCAGGATGCTGCCGGCGCATGTGCGCATGCCTGGTGGACCGTGCCTGCCCTTCATGCAGTGTGCCCAGCTTCCTCGGCGAGAGATCGCCGAGCAAAGAGCTGTTGTTCCTGTGAAGTGTGCGGTCTTCCACGCGGCTTGGCTCATCTAGGTTCGGGCTGCGCCCGCCCACAATCCACAAACAAGGTGGGGAGGGCACCTTTCCGTGGGCCGGACAGAACCCAGATCAACACTCACTTAGTCACGTGCTCGCTCACCCGTTTTCGTCCGGTTCGTCCCACCCCAATGCCCGCCTGCCAATGCTTCGGCAAGTTCTTGCTGTACCTCCATGAAAACGGCAAATCCCGCAAGGTCTGGACCTTAGTCTAAAGAGGGCAACAGGCAGATAGGGGACTGGATGACTTCAAGTCAAAACCAAGCTCTGTATCTGGAATCAAATCAAGCGATGATTTGCGCCCAGCCGCAGTTCGTTCTTTTTCGAAATGCGCGATCGATCTTTATTTCTTTATTTCCAGGTCTCTGGAACCCAGTCTTTGGCGACTGTTCGCTCTTTGTACAGAATTTACAGAATGTATTCCTTTGAGCCCTGGCCGGGCCATGTCTTGAAGCCAAAGGTGGCTGCAAACGCTGCAGTCGTCGGCGAGAAATGCAGCGACGGCTTAAGACGTGGTACGCTGCTCATATCACTGTACATGCTGCCGCGCGGCCGTAACACCTGCACAAATTAAAAGGCCAAGTTCTTGTAAGGCAGAGGCTGAAGGTGTGGAGACGCCCCCGAACTCGCTGCACGCTTGAAAACGCCTTCCTGGTCTATGCGTCGGTATGGCTTAACGCGTACGCCTTGCAAAACGTCCAGCACCTGAATGGATGCCAACTTGAACAGCCACTGCATCACCTGCACAGTTCTGCCAAGCTCTTTCTTAGACTTAGACCCGATGCGAGGCTCCTCTGGTGGCTAGGGCACTAACATAACGACAGGATGCATGAAAGTCGCGGGACTTGAGTGACTGCAACCCATGAAGGAAGCAAAGCTTAACAAACCAGGTCACCGAATTTCCGACGGATTGGCTCGAGGCCATCACAGACTCCAGCGTCGAGAATGGCACGCGCAGCACCATGCAATCTGGCGCAGCACAGGCGCTGGCATGCCAAGTCGGAGCCCTGCTGCTGCAGAAGGCGCCGAACTCAAGTGCACCCAGCACTGATCCATGGGTCAGCTTGCGAACGCGGATATCCAATTCTTCTTCAAAGGCGAAGGTGTCACCCTTCTCCTCATTCAGATGGTGCCTTGGCACCTTGTAAGCTAAGGCTTCGTCTGGACTGATCCTCTGAACAATGCTCACCGACCCGCTCAAGACATAGGTCAGGTCCTTGGCTTGCTGACCTTCCGCATAGAGCTGCTCTTCGTTTCTGTAAGTTTTCAGCTTGCTGCCGAACTTCGCGAGTTTTTCACCGACGGCCGCCCGCTCCTCCGCTTTGGCTGTTGAGGCTATCTCCAGCAGGAACTCGCTGACAAAGTGCAGAAGCTCCTTCTCGTCCTGCTCTTTCGTTTGGGGGACCTTCTCTGCCAACTTCGATGCCAGTAGCTGATGCTCTGAGCGTATCGACTTCAATCTTCCCTTGTCCCGACCTGACAGGAGCCATTCCTCGGCCCACTCCAGCATCTTCTCGACGCGGTGCGAGCTGATCTTCATTTCCACCTGACAGGCGCGCATACATCTCTCCAAGGACAGCTGCAGGCGGCGCACGACACCGCTGATCGCAAGAGTGACAGCCGGTCGTCGCCTTTGGCACTTCTCGGCAAAATTGACCAAGGCCTGGACTCCTGATGCATCTACAGCTGGGACCTGCTCGAAGTCAAGAATAAGGATACGTGTGGACGGGGATTCATCCAGCGATGCCTGCAGCTCTTCGACGATATCTTGGGCTGTCCCGAAGAAGATGTAGCCAGCACACCAAAACACTGCGACTTGCCGTCCATAAGTGTCAATAATCTGGTTCTGCTCATCGTCGCGCTCAACATGCGAACGCACCTCCGAGAGTGTTGCTTTCTGCGTCACACCTGTCATGCCAGAGTACTCCACCATGAAGAAGACGGTGGTGAGAACAACACCGAAAAGAATGCCGAGCAGGACGTTCAGGTAGGTTATAACAGAGGTCGCCACGACAACGCGCCACTCAGTGGCTGCGATGCGCTCCCGTGATTCTACCAGTGAAGTTGTCAAGAACTCGAAACCCAAGGACACAACCAAGGCCCCGAAGGCGCATTTCGGAATGAAGCTGAGGCTTGATCGCAGTGTGGAATCGAAGTACAAGGCCATGTAGCAGACGGAGAAGAGCAGCACCCACCACCGCGTCTTGGCCCCCGCATCCCGCATAACCACCCATACCTTAATGGCATGTGAGACCGGGACACCGGCACAAGGAGCCAGAGCGATGTTCGTCTTCCCCAGTAGCCGGATCTCCTTTCAGGGCGCAGAAACAGGAGGACCTCACCCTGCAAACATGCCCATTCCCAGGCACTTCCGATCCTTGGCGAGCTCTATCTGGGGATCCTTGGCCATGTCCTGAAAGCCTACCGTGTAGAAGGTGAAGGCCAGTGTGCTCAGCGCGGCATAGGACACCACGACAGAGATACAGGGTTGACTGAAGAAGGCCCGTGCATGGAAGCTTCCAAAGCCGGAACCCAGGAGTTCCCATTCCACGACCCAAGACTCTGGCCGGAGACCGGATATGAAGAGGCCCCAGAACTGCAATTCTTCAAGGCTGAGTGGGTGGAGGTAGAGGAAGCCATAGACAACCAAGCTGATCACTGCGAGGCCGAGAGGAAGACGGATGGCCCTGCCCCAGGCGTAGTGATCGAGAACCTCCTGTCGTGGACATGGGACGCCGAGCGGGTTCAGGGTTCAGATGTCGGGAAACCCTCTGAACGGGGCTACAAGATGCGTCCTTAAGCCCCAGGAAAATGCCGGCACCGACCAGGGTCAGGCAAAGCCGAAGCAGTAGGGCGATCCCAGCATGTGTGACCTTCGGCCGTTCATGACAGTCTTGGGTTGTGTGGGCTAGTGATTGCTGCACTGGCAGCATGATTCAGGGCTTCGCGTGATGCTACAGTCCCTCCGTCAGGGACCGAGACAGAGCGCTCAGGGCAATTGCAACTCACAAACTGCCTCTAGAGGAGGTGCCTCCCAGTGTGTGCAGTATGTCTGAGTTTATCTTCGGTGCGTCATCCTGTTGGCTGGGATGATGTCAGCGGGTGAGGGCGGAGCTGGACATATCGTGAAATAGCATTCCTGTCGACTAGACTAGACTGCACTCTTCAAGTCCTCATCAGTGCATGACAGTCGAAAAACGTTGTTTTGTCTCTCAAGTCAATACCCAGGCCTCGAAAGATTGGGCAGCAGTTAGGAGGTCTGCAAGCAACTGAAGGAGGCCCTGGCCACCTGCGGATGGCTTGGGCTAGGGACTGCGGTTGGGTCGAGGCAGGTCTTGTCTGCAAGACAAGACGTGCCACATCTTCAGCAACACCACAAACAACCGATCGGAGGCAAAAAATGCGATATCACAACTATAAACTTCTCGCTCGCGCTCTTGAGTTCGCGTGTATACACTACCAGAAGTGTTGATGTTGCGATCAAACTTCATGTTGTGTTGACTCTATTCGGTGCTTGTGAGTTCAGGAGCGACTCTCCAAACAAAAAAGGAGTGCCAGCTCAGGATGAACAGCCGATTCACTGCCAGGCCACATCCAAGTTCCAAGCCGCCATCGAAGATCATCATCCTTTGCAAATGTTTTGGTACATGCAGGCGTGATGCATTTCCAAGTTTCTCGAGGGGGAGGGCGTCTGCGAGGATCCATCTCAAAGCCAAACCTCAAACTCCAGAATCCAGAACTCCAACCCCAATCCTGAGACCCCTCCGGCCCCGGCCTGACCCTCCCCCTATCCTCCGGCCCCACAACAAGTCCATTCCACAATAGACCGGAGCCAGCAAGCCTAGCGGCCGAGCAAGGAGCATCAGTCCGTACTCAAATGTCAAGACTAAAGTGTCACTGTAGTCTTTACTGCTGCTGCTCACCCTTTCTGAAGAGCGAGCCTATCGCCTACAGGGCCAGCACGCACCAATCTCACACACGCCTAAAGAGCTTGTCTCCCTCCTCGGTCCAACCGCCCACACCTCCAAAGAGCAGCCTCCACCCTCCGACGCCTCCGACTCCTGCCTCGGGGGGACCGCGAAAGAACGCGGGAGAACTAATCAGGCCGCCGAGAAATGGTTGAGGGGACACCCCACTAAAAGACAGTCACGAACGCCTCATCATCCACGCCAGCACCATCACCATCATCATTACGATCATCCCCGCCATCCTCCTCCACCTCCTCGTCCTCCTCGTCCTCGTCCTCGTCCTCCTCCTGCTCCGCCTGCTCCTCCTCCTCCTCCTCATGATCATCATCAACATCATCATGACCATGGCAAGCAGGAATGCTGAAAACGGAAACGCATAGAACACCTGTAACTAGTCTGAGTGGATGGCTGGCTGATTCTGAGTCCGAGCTCCAGCTCGGGGTTGGGTTCGCGATCCAGCGAAGGAAGGGGTTGGTGGGTTTGCTCCTCATTCCAGGTTTCAATACGAGTTCCATGTCCAGTTTCATGTCGGGTGCATTTGCATAAGCGAGGCACTTCGGTTTTGGTTCGATTTCAGGATTTGCGAACTGTGAACCAAAATGCCTGTCCAGGCTCCCAATGCCGCTGACGAAACCTGCACTGACGGGGTATGGCAGAAAGCGCATGTAGTACCTTGGCTGTCCAGCAACGTACCGACATCGAACTCGGTGACAAGACGCGTCTCCTCATGTTTTTTCTTCGTTGTTTCACCGGGTTTCAATCTGCAAAACTTGAAGAACAGGCCAATTCAAGGTACGACGCAAACCGATGCAGTAATAGCTATAGCAGAAAAGGCTATGAAGGTGCACCCGAGGCGTGCCTGAGAAGATGGGGGCAACCACGAAAAAGCCTGGTGGTGGTGGTGGTGGTGGTGGTGGGGGTGGTGGTGGGGGTGGGGGTGGGGGTGGGGGTGGTGGCGGCGGTGTTTGTGGTTTTACTCGTGGTAGTTAGTAGTTGCACTAGTGGTAGTAGTAGTTGTTGGTATTGATGTGGTAGTGGTAGTCGAAGTGGTAGTGGCTAATAGCTAGTGGTTAGTGGATAGTGGTTAGTGGGGGTAGTGGTAGTTATCGTAGCAGCAATCGTCGTCGTCGTCGTAGTAGTACTAGCAGGAGCAGGAGCAGGAATAGGAGAAGTAGGGTGGGAGCAGTAATAGTAGCAGTAAAAGGAGGTGTAGGAGCAGTAGGAGTTGGAGTTGGAG